TTTGTTGTTGTTGTAATTTTCGTTTTTAATTCCGTCACCCCGTCACCGCGCGCTGGATAGAAAACACGGCCGAATAGCGACGAAAAACTGGCAATTAAATTATATAGAACCACCACTTGGTTTTTTTCATAAACTTTGTATATGTATATATATATATATATATGGGTTTTTTCTCGTGATGCGAAGGGTAATATTTTATTTTCGGCGGTCCAATTAGTGGCGCCGAATGAAACCGAGTGGATGTTTATTTTTTGTGTGTTACATCTGTCTCGGAAAAGCACGAAAAACAGAAACAAAAAATAATAATAGGAACTCAAATTAACTGAAACAAATACGTTATTGTAATATGGACCGTGTTTAATTGTCAGTAAACGACCAGTCTCGAATTTTGCTTTGTGTTTCGCGGGATGGGGGAAGGGGGTTTTAGCCACTGTGTCGACACCGTACCACAGAAACTCGTCGTGAACACATACGTAATATATTTATATATTATTGCCTGCCTTAGATGTATACACTTATATACTGGATTATACAAGGACCTAAAACGAAYATATACATTAAATAAAAAAGAGGTTTTAACAGATTTCCAAGTAGGTTACGTGATTGGCATATTGATATTTATCGCACGGTAGAGTGGTATCTCAATACGTGTATACTCCAATATATTATTGTGAGGTAATCGTACGAAAACTGTGAGAGTAAATTGTAAAAACAAAAACACAAAKAGGATAAAATATTGTTTTTACCATCCGAGATTTGTATGCAATACACCAACCCCATCTTCCGGTTAAACGACGCGAGTCGGAGCGACGCTACATGCATTTATTATTATTATTATTTATTATATATTATGTGTTGTGTGGTGGTGTAAAGGCACCCGAGGCGATAGTTTAATGCAATATATTTCTTAACCCACTAAACTCACTTACAACAATCACTCCCCCCCCCAAAAAAAAGCCGATACAAAACAAAATTATGTTATCGTATACGTTCGACTGTCGATACATTTTATTGTTAATATWATAATATATTAACTGCAAGCTTGCGACTGCACACTTAGCCGAAAACCTTTTTAGTTTTCATTTTGGAGTGCACTTGTAATACTATTTTAATCATTGTTTATTATTTTGTGAATAATTATTAATAATTAAATTTAAAATATTTTATCAAAATACAGTATGTGCGTACAGGAAATTAAATATAATTAATAATTAATTGATAATACAAGTACGCCGTGATATAATCGAATAGCTGCCTTGCGTTTATTATGACGTACAATATAATAATAAATTTCTGTAGTTTATTTCATTTTTTATTTTGTGTTTACCCAAACCTTTACATTGTTCATTAAGCGCATTATTAATGAGAACCCCGCGAGCTCGTAATAAACCACAGTGTTAAAAATAATAATCAATATTCCAGAACTCGGATAGTGGTGTGTGACAGTACCAATGTGGACAACACAGTTGCTGGACTAGAAGAAAATTGTTGTTATTATTATACTTAATTTTTTTTTTTTTAACTCATTGAAACGTCATTTTTAAATGATGTTATCCCGCCACCGTAGTTTTTAAGGTTTTTATCTCATTACAAATGCGAAACGTTATTACGCCGTACTACTACAATTTTTTATTTAAGTTATCCAAGATTTACACTTTTTATTATTCATCTGCAAATATGTATCTATATTATTAACATAATTTTATTCATCTTAGTAAACGACTTTTAACTTTATTTACCCTGAATAAGTAGATCTTTATCGAGAAAAAGTTTAATTTACATGATTCAACCATTGAGGGAAAAAGAGACATTATTTTTTAAACTTTGAATATCTATCTATATATGTATATATATATATTATGTAAAATGTTTTTGTCCGAGTAGAGTTTTTTTTATATTGAAAGTTTTCTGTAGAGTTATTTTCAAGATATTGTGTGTATTACAACGTTTATTTATTCCATTAAAAAGTCATTTTAATTTCCCCTCACTTTCTGAAGTATTTCTGTGGTAAACTACTTAAAACAATTATTCGCCCATTGCCAATTATAAACAATTGTCATTTAAAAATAGATATTTCTTTTTGACATTTGACAACAATATTAATTTATATAATAGTATATGTCGTTAGAAATACTTAATTTGCTACATTTACACTTCTGWCAAAACCGTCAAATTAAGATATAATTATAATCGTCAATGTATAGATATCATGCCCTATATATTATTTCACAGTTTTTTTATTTCACGATATTTTTATTTTGCTATTAAATATTCAATAAACGTTTTCATGGAATTTATTATTAAAAATCATTTTAGATCATTTTTCCTTTTTTTACTACCATGACATGTTATATAATATATATTTATATTATATAGTATACTATACATTCAATTGTCAAATCGATATTTTTAACGATGAAAATGTTTTTTATTTTTTTTTATTATTATTATTAATATTATTATGAACCTATATACATTGCGTAGTCATGCTTTGACGCTTTGTCATCGCCATGTACGTAATTTTCTTTGAATTTATTTTCTGAGTTAATGATTGTTTGATGTGTGACAGACCACAGTGAGTTACCACTGCATTTYCAGCTCCTGTGAAATCGTACAATACGCTTTTATGTTTTGTTGCGTATTATATTATTGTTGATAACGAGTAAAAAGGGTTTTTTATATTCAAAACATAATACATCCCAATAAGTTTAAACGCATATTCATAATTTAATAAAGATTATTTTCAGTTATATAATAAAAACCATATAATAATTGATAAATCACGGTAAAGCATATAATATTGCAGGAGAACCTGGAAATAACATTTTTCAGATGTGTCGTGTACACGMAAATATACACTTTGATAACCGTAATACAATTAATATGATATGTATTGATGTTGTTCATATAGAAATAAAAATGTATTATTATTGTTTTCAGTTGTCGGAGTTGGAAAAACGTGTGCTGGAAGCGGAAACGAGAGCCGTGGAAGCGGAAGGAAAAGTGAGTTGCGCAGTCAAACTTGATTAATMTAATAAACAGACAAAGTGTTTATCTCTGTTATCGATGTATATTGTATAGGCACCTTACTTATTCTGTATATTATTATATGGTGCATTATCAAACGAGTTTGATTTAAAAGTACACGCAAAAACTGCCCATGTGTTATATTGGATTTAAATACCTATATAATATGCATGATTTCCCATTTTTCTACGACCRAACACTTATCGTGTACATCATTATCATAATACAATATAAGTAGATACCTATATACTTGTAATTTTTTCATAAATCTATGGAGACTTCTACGATTACGCCATTTATGTTCCCGGTCAGTTTTCCGAGTTCGATAATAATATTATGTAGCGAAGAGTAGACCAAAATATAAATTATAATATATACATATATATATRTGTGTCTTCCAATAGGTTTGCGAGACAGCGATTTATTTTGTTTTACTGAACGTGTATTATTATTATATTTGGCGGGTACACAATTTATGTCGAAAACATCCAACGTTTATATATATAGTTATTAATTATATAATTAGGTTCGATTCGTGCAGCTACAGCGTGGAGTACTTATGTGATATTTATTTAATTCCGTAATATACGGCGGCGTGGGTCGTCGGTGCCAACGTCATGTTATATAGTTGGGTCGACGTTTCCGAAATGTATATATATATCGTCCCTCGACGTTTTCCCATGTCAAATATACAAACCAAATATTATTTCTACTCAGTAAAATAACAACGTATAGGTTAAAGCCTGATATTATAATGTTCGTATTACTATTATTATTTTATGATGAAATTTCCATTAGGTGTGTATAATATAATTCATACTATATAGAACAAGCAAGTCGGAAAAAACATACAAATAAAACCAAACAAACATTATTATTATACTTATT